ACCAGTTGATCTTGATTTCATGGAATTTTCTGTATGCTACATTGCAAAACCTCTGGGCATTTCATGTCACTGTCCCAAACAAATTAAAGAGTTTGGGTTTTCCACGAAAACGTACAGTAACATTGATCAAGACCTCAATTGATTGGTTGCCCAGATTAAAAAAGAAATTTCCTCTGCTGGATACCGAATGGTCAAAGGTAGGCTTCAATCCATGGTGATTCACATTCAGTGGAGAAGAGTAGCTGCTTCAGTGCACAAAGTGGATTCGACAGGAGTCCGGTCCAGAATGTACAGATTGGTATTGGTGTGTGGTACGCTGCACATATTCTGTGAGAGGGCCTCGGTCTCTCTGGCATGTGGATACTAATCACAAGTTAATAAAGTTTTGTCATTTTCCATTGTCATGTACTCCTATGAGTATTTCTTATAAACCCATGTCTCCTTGCACTATATTAGTAGAAATCCATTTGCAAAAGCTTTACTTAATAGGTGCAACATAGTCAGTTTTGGAGCAGTGGATGAATACTCCAGGAAGGTAAGAGAAGTGTGGTGTTTTCTTCCATCACCGAAGTTATCCTAATTTTTATATGATGGATGGTTGGATCACTAAGTTCGTATGTTAAAGGAACACTCCAATATTTTTTAAAATAGGTTCATTTTCCAACTCCCCTTGAGTTAAACAGTTGAGTTTTACCGTTTTCGAATCCATTCAGCCGATCTCCGGGTCTGGCGGTAGCACTTTTAGCTTAGCTTAGCATAGATCATTGAATCTGATTAGACCGTTAGCATCTCGCTCAAAAATGACCAAAGAGTTTCTATATTTTTCCTATTTAAAACTTGACTCTTCTGTAGTTACATCGTGTACTAAGTAAAACACAAACTACACTAATAAACATCTGACAGAGAGTAAAATGAGTCTACAGTTGGCATGTTTTCAGTTGATGTGAGCCGTATGAAATGTGGAACGGACGAGACTAACATTATATCTATCATCTTCAGGAAGTGATGGTGTGACGATCAGGAGCTCCAGAGCAGCTGTGGTGTGTTTGGTGCTGCTGTGTGTTCTTCTGCTGACCGCAGTCATAGTGCTGTGTGTCACCTTCACTCAAGAGAGACAACAGATATTAACTAAGATCACCAACCTCACAGAGGAAAGAGACCAGCTACAAATCAACAATATGAACCTCACAGAAGGGAGAGAACAACTACTAACCAACAACATGAATCTCACAAAAGAGAGAAACCAGCTACTAACCAACAACATGAACCTCACAAAAGAGAGAAACCAGCTACTAACCAACAACATGAACCTCACAAAAGAGAGAGACCTGTTGAAATCAGAAAAAAATGAACTTCAGACGCTTTTTGCTGGTAAGTTTCTTCAGTCTTACTGGTCACTTGCTTTAAAGCAGACTCAAATTTTAAAGTGGAATGAATTGGATCTGTTGTGTTGGGGTCATGTGGCTAATGCTCATATTGAACTTGCTTTAGTGTCATGTTTATAATGATTAATAATAATAATAATAATAATCAGTTTAGGGATGTCAACTGAGTCTAAATATTAATAGATAATTTAAGACATATTATTGTAGTGGATGAGTAAATGGTTAAATAGACATTGCAACAAGTGGCTTTATAAGTCAATATTCATATCATTGAGCATGAGCATTTCATTACAGCTTTTCCTGATTGCACAATTCATGAAACAATTCACCATTTTCTCACAACTATAAACAATCTCAAAACTACACACCAACTTATGCAAATCTCAAACTGCCAGGTCACTGGACTCTGGTTTTTTTGTCAAAAACATAGTATTTTTTGTCAGAATCAAAGTTTGTATCTGTCAGGTTTGAGTGTCAAAGCCACAGACTACTTCACTGTCTAGAGAATAGTAGTGATGTTACGTACTGCTCTGAGACTTGACAGGTTGGAGTTCCAAATGCAGCTTTATTGGGACAAACCAGAAACGTGATCCGAAATACAGGCAACCGGTCAAAACACAGGCAAGCAATCCAAACAATAGACAAGGCAGGAAACTCAGACAAATCCCAAAAAACAGGCAAGAGAGCAAAAAAACCAAGAGACAAATCCAGGGAGAATGCTCAGAAATGCAGTATAACAACTAACAAGACTTCGCAAAGAATGACAAAATAAACAAGGCTTATATAAGGTGAGCAGACAGTGTAAATGAGCCACAGGTGCAGACAATGAGTATTGATGAGTCCATGCAAAGGATTATGGGAAATGGAGTCCGGAGGTAAATGGTAAGAGTCTGGAATGGAGTGCCCTCTAGTGAAGCTCACGGACTCTCCAGCTAGAGATCGTGATAGAGCCCCCCCACCAAGGAGTGGCTTCCATACGCTCCAAACAGAAGAGACTAAAGTCCAGGAGGGAGGTGGAGCGGAGGCGGAACAGGTGGAGGGATGGAGGGACAGGACCATGTAGAAGAGGAGGGAAGAGGACAGAGGCCTAGCCGCCAGAGCTGGGAGCAAGGGCGGAGCTGGCAGAGCAGAGAGCCAGGGCGGACTGGTATGATAGGGAATACACTGATGGTCTCCATGACCTCGTCAGAACAGAGAAAGAGTTCATAAGTGGACACTCCTGACACCTCTGGAGGATTTGCAGCAGATGCTGCCACCTCTGGGGTTTCTGCAGCAGTAGCTTCAACAAACACAGAGAATTCAGAAACAGCGCAGTGGTAAAAGAGGCATCAGGAAACAGGAAGAGTTCAGAAACATTCTCCTTAACAGGACAGGTATGGAGTTCAGCAACGGTCCCTTCGAACGTAATATCACAGGCTGAGAGTGCATTGCTGAAACTCTGGAGAAACTGCAACAGATGCCATCGCCTCTGGGGACACAGCAGGGAGCGCCACTACCTCGGGAGGTTCTGCAGCATCAGCCGCCACCTCTGGAGATATCATAGTGGACAGGGGAATCAGTTCAGGAACAGGGCACTCTGGAGAAGCAGACACTGAAGGGCACACTGGAGGGCATTCAAGAGTGGACCCTGGAATGGATTCTGGAGCAGACTCTGGACAACGATCAAACTCTGGAGCGGATTCATGGACTAGAGCTGGATCCTGGCTGAGCTCTGGGGTGAGAGCGGGCTCTAGCCTGAGCTCGGGGGCTGGAGCCGGCACTGGACTCTGGTCTAGAACAGATACCCTCTCTGGGCCAAACTCGGGATCAGGAGCCCTCTTTGGGTTAAACTCGAGAACAGAAGTCCTCTCTGGGCTAGACTCGGGAACAGGAGCCTTCTGTGGGCTAGACTTGGGATCAGGTTCAGAGAGTAGAGTGGGCGCCACCACCTCGAGAGGTTCTGCAGTGAATGCTGCCACCTCTGGGGAAACAACGGTGGTGTGTGTGGCCCATACACAGAGAATGGCCGTAGCCATAACTGGCAGGACAGAGAGTACATTTTCTATTTCAAAGACTGACGGTTCTATGCCTGGAGAACTAGGGTGAGTAGTGGCCGGCAGGCTTTAAAGTGTATGAATGGTGTCCCTTGAGAACGTTGGTTTAGGGATACTAGATGTGTGTACTGACACCAGCGGTGGATTCTCCACACTGGATGTCAGTCTGAGATACCATAGAACTGACTTCGAAGATCTGTGTACAACAGACGGGACGTGATGAGACTCTGGACGATCAGCTGAGACGTGACGAGACTCTGGACGATCAGCTGTGATGTGACGAGATCCTGGACGATCAGCTGAGACGTGACGAGACTCTGAAATTACATGAGCAGACTTTGACTTGGCAGACTTGACGTGAGCAGATGCAGGAACAGCGGCCATGACGGGACGAGACTCAGGAACGGTGGCCATGACGGGACGAGACTCAGGAACGGTGACCATGACGGGACGACACTCAGGAACGGTGGCCATGACGGGACGAGACTCAGGAACGGTGGCCATGTAGGGACGAGACTCAGGAACGGTGACCATGACGGGACGACACTCAGGAACGGCGGCCATGACGGGACGAGACTCAGGAATGGCGGCCATGACGGGACGAGACCCAGGAACGGCGGCCATTTTGTGGAAAGTTTCTGATCATTTTGCAAACAGCCTCTGTGTTGGCAGCCATTTTATGACAAGTCTCTGGGCTGGCGGTCATCTTGTGGAAAGGCTCTTGACCGGCAGCCATTACGTGAACAGACTCTGGTGTGGTGCCATGTTCCTCCTCAGCGACATCCACAGTGAATACAGAGCCGCTTAAAATAAGTGCATAGCAGATATAAGTCCATAAAGTCCTTTAAACTACAATTGAACTTTCCTTTAGGGAACCATGATTTAATAGGCTCATTAAATCCAAAACAAAAAAAGTCCTTCAGCGCAACTTCTTTGAATGGTACACAATAGGATAACTCACGAAACTGCTGTACATAATCCTCAATCAATAAATCCCTCTAACGTAGACACAATAACTGATTAACCAGATCCATAGTGATCTGGATGACACTCAGATGCTGGATCTGTAAGTAAAAAAAAAGTAATATATTTTAAATACATATATTTCATATCAAGTATAGTTCAAACCTATTAACATATTTACTGGCATATCGGTAGAGACTTGCTGATATAAAAATTATAATTAAAGTTTACTTGGAGTACTGCTTGTGCACAATGCACATTTCTTAATATTAAGCCTAAAATGTCTTTTCATGTCACTATTGATGAGGATTGTATGATCTTTGAAAAATATTGGCCTTTAAATACGAGATATTATGATATACCTAAAGTATACTTGAAATAGTTCCACTTTAGCACAATCAAATATACTTCAGTATATCTGTAGTTGGACTTCAGCAGCACTTCTGCATAATTAAAGTACATTAAGTACAATATTTAGCTGATACCAGTTCAGTATACTAAAAGTACAATTACAGGATAATTTTATAAAGTGCATAAATATGTAAATGTATTTGTATTATACTTAGCACGAAATAAATGTACTTCAAATACATTTTAGTATACTTATTTTTCACAAGGGATGGCTTTATCTGTGTTTATAGGTGGATGGAAGTGCCATCAATCCAGTCTTTACTTCATTTCTTCTGAGACGAAGAAATGGACCGAGAGCAGAAAATACTGTACAAACAAAGGAGCAGATCTGATCATCATAAACAACAAAGAGGAACAAGTCAGTTTCTCTCTCTCTCTCTCTGTGTGTGTGTGTAATTGTGGTGTTTAGTTTTTAGATTCAAGATAATGTGCTGAAATGGGTCTGTGCTTATTTTATAAATTGTTTTATTGTTTCACTTCTCAGGATTTTGTGAAGAACATTTCTGGTGATGCTAAAGTCTGGATTGGTCTGACTGACCAATCAGTGGAGGGCAGATGGAAATGGGTTGATGGCAGCAATGTGACCTTTAGGTGAGGAATCACTGAATTGAACTGATTATGTTTCGATAAAAGATTCTCACAGTCAGTATCATATCACACAGAAAGCAGCTCTGAACATCTAATGCTGATCTGTTGATGCAGGTTCTGGGAGAACGGACAACCGAATAAAATAGAGGAAGACTGTGCTCTAAATTATTCACCAGGATGGGCTGATTTTCCATGTGGCAACAAGTATAAATGGATCTGTGAGAAGAGTATTTTTAAATGACTCATGATACATATTTATGAATATAGTGCATTTTGAACATCTAACTATATCTGTTAAATATTATGTCTTGTGTTTAGTCATTTTACCTGTTTTTATTTGAATAACCCTTTAATTAGGTTAATCTGTTTAAAAATTTTAAATTAAGTTAAATAAAAAATAAAATAAAAACCACTGCAATATTACAACTTTAATATTAAACTCTTTAAATGAACTTTGTTTTGATTGTTCAGTCAAACTTTGTCACATCTTAAGATCTAAACTAAAATATGCATGTACAAACAACAGCGATGTTTCTCCGGACTGTAATAATATCAGTAATACACTGATATAATAGAAATGTCCAATACTCTTAACCAAAATGATCATGATTTTAGTTGTATTATTCAAGACATCAATGCAGTTTAATTTGAACTGTGACACTTTTTAAATGGAAATTTCTTGCAGCTTTTTTTGTAACAACTACAGTATGACAATAAACCTACTTGACGATGATTTACTTGTTTTCAATAACTAACTGGCATATTTCCTGAATCACGTGAAGCGGAATATAAATGGAAAGTTGCATAAGCAAGTCTCATAAACTGCTCCTAATTTTTCACTCTGAATAAGATTTTTTTATATATATAATAAAATAATACATTTCTAATAAAAAAAAAACCTCAGGTACACTAATTAAAACTCCAATACACTTCTGTACAGTGTAGAAAAACATGGATTACCACATGTCTACTTCAAATTTCTTTTGAGAGAAATATTATTTTTATGGATTGGCCATTATTTTGTGCTATGAACACATATAATGTCTGTTTCATGCATACTGGACACCTGAGGGCACCCTGGCACAGAAAATCCATATACATATTACACAGGGTTTCTGCAGACATTAACAAGCATGATGCAGTAACTTACCGCGGGTCGGCCTGCCAATGATTGTAAAGTCATTAGCTCCGTCAGACTGAAGATATTTGAGCGGTAATGTGACCAAAAATAATTAAGACCCATCGAATCCGAATTTAAGACATTTTAAGACTTTTTAAGGACCCGCGGACACCCTGATTACAGAAGAAATAGAACTCACACGCTCCGAGAAATCCCTAATACGGGACAAAAGCATCCAGGTATCATGTAACTGAATGAAAGAAGACAGAAACGCTTTGAATGATGACATTCAAAAAGAACATTAAGACAATAAACACTCTACTGCGATTCATCCCGTATCTGTTATTTACATTCGTTTTCTAATGTAAAATTCCATGAATTCTATTCTTTAGCATGACTGAGATTTAGTTTGATTTATTTTTCTTTTCTGTTCATTATTCTCATCTAAAACAGGACAAGGTGTTTCCACGTGACACACTGATATAAACATGGTGTTTATTAAAGGGGTCATGACATGAGAAATCAAATTTGCCTTGATCTTTTGGCATATGACAGGTCTTTGTACCATTAAAGTATCCTGTAAGTTTTATAGCTTAAGACTATGACACACTACATGTGCTGAAACGATGGAATCTTGCGTCCCGACGCCCATTGTCATTTACAAATCCCCACGACACCCTACATCAAGCAAATCGTGGCAAATCGTGTAGTCTAAACCGGGCATGACACAGACAGAGTGAAAGACTGGATTTATTTCCATTAGGTATGGGGAAGTCGTGGCCTAATGGTTAGAGAGTCGGACTCATAACCCAAAGGTTCGAGTCTCGTACCGGCAGGGATTGTAGGTGGGGGGAGTGAATGTACAGCGCTCTCTCCCACCTTCAATACCACGACTGAGGTGCCCTTGAGCAAGGCACCGAACCCCCAACTGCTCCCCGGGCGCTGCAGCATAAATGGCTGCCCACTGCTCCGTGTGTGTGTTCACAGTGTGTGTGTGCACTAAGGATGGGTAAATGCAGAGCACTAATTCCTAGTATGGGTAACCATACTTGGCCACACGTCACTCACTCACTTACAAGTGATTTCAAAACATTTCAGCCAGTTTATATATATTGTATAAGCCTATATATTATTTATGTCGTATAAGATGCATTTGGTTGAGTCACGCTGCGGTAAAGCGCTTCATTGTAGTTGTGACGAGAGGGGCGGGGCCGAGAGCCGTGGGAACGGAGCGAGGCCGGTGGAGTAAATGCTAATGCACGACACCTGCGCCACTCACCGGTCTCGAGTCCCACGGAGGAGCTCCGGAAGGATAAAAGGAGGAGTGACGACAGTGAAAGACGAGAGAGGACCAGGCCTGGAGTTTATTTTGTGTTTTGGTTTTGTTTGTGCGCGACAGTTGTCCACGAGGGGCTGTCGCGCTATTTTTCTGTTTGTTTATTTTATTAAAGTTTTCTTTGAGCGTTCGCCGGTTCCCGCCTCCTTCTTCCCGTGACTACGAATGTTGTTACAGTAGTACTACGGTGAGCAGCGCGAGCAGAACAAACAACAATGCATAATAATAACTATGACTGGGACTGTCATATACATAACATTATAATGAGAACACTATTATAATAAACCACTGAGAATTTTTAGAGTTTAGTTGCCGTGTTTTTGCACGTTGTTGCGTGAAGAACACGTCCATAAAAAGAGTTCATTCAGAGCCGCGCAGACACGTTCGTGCATTCGGGGCACTTTGTGCAGATAGCCTATAAGTCGTAATATTAACGTTATGTTGTATAATGCAGAACATTAATGCAGAACATGCAGAACATTAATAACATCAAAAAATGTTGTGAAATCTCTGGTTATCGCAGTCGTTTAATGTTAACTATCTTTTAATCAAAACATAAAACATTATTTACCCGTTTGTATCTGCGAGTCATCCGTTACACATTTTCGCTTTGTGTTAACATCAGTATTTATGATTGTCGAATGTCTGACTTGACTCTTGGTAATGTATTTTGCCCCGCCCCCAAACATATGATTCGACTATCAGCAAGATTCGAAAACTCTGATTCGACTATGAAAATTCTTAGTCGGGGACACCCCTAGTCGTTCTCCAGAGCAGGACAACTATGCCTATTTTTGCATCATCGTATCGTTGTCACGCCCACAGGTGTTCAGTCGACGTGCAGCGATTTTTAAGTGCGTTCCACTTCGTGAAGTTAACGAGGCAAGTTTATATGGACATACCCTCAACCCCTCAATTTTGTCCGAGCGAGTCTGCTTCATATGCACACTTCAGGCCACTCCACAGACCAAAATGCAACACGATTGTGACGTCATCGCAGATCGTGTTTAATTTATCCCCACCCCAAACAACTCTATAATATATAAATGCTTCTTTTTTTTTTTTACATTTATAACAGCCCAAGCATACCTTTATACGTATAGAATGCTGCACCAAACAAATCCGCAAAGGAAAAAGTGTAAACAATAAACCAACTCTATAGCAGATTCTAAGTGATCAAGGGCTTAGGACGTTCCAGTTCAGTGCATTGCAAGAGTTCAGCCAGTAGTGGGCACTCATGCAACGTAATCAATGACGTACATCCAAGTAAACGAGACAGAGGGAAGTTTGCGAGTGAAGGGCATAAAAAATGGACTGGAACGCAGCCTGGGTCTGAAGAAGTAGTTGTTTACAATAAGATTGCGATGCCATGCAGATGTTGTTTTTCCACAGCCAGGAATGGCACATGTTTGAATACGCAGCCGAAGGGCCCCGACGTCAGGGGAAAATGGATTCAGTTTATTTTTAGCGAACGTCCCAGTTACGTCAGTGTTAATTTACACGTGTGTTCAGTACATTTCACCAATGACTGATTTGAGAACAAATCGCAGTATGATGCTGGCTTTGCCAGAACACTTTTGCTCAAAGATCAGGCCGTGACAACTATTCTGGACCCAACAATGCCGCCACCAACTGTAAGTAACGTATTTCATGTAAAAACTACTTTTTAAAACGGTAATGGCAGTTTAATTCACTGCTGGCTTTGCCAGAACACTTTTGCTCAAAGATCAGGCCGTGACAACTATTCTGGACCCAACAATGCCGCCGCCAACTGTAAGTAACGTATTTCATGTAAAAACTACTTTTTAAAACGGTAATGGCAGTTTAATTCATAATGAATAATCACAGTGTTTTTACTTAGTTTACTTGCATATTGTTTTCAGAGTCCATCGTGTTCAGGTCCCGTGTTAAAAGATGTAGGCTGGGTACACAGCTGTCATTTCAAACCATGAGACCTACGTGCCATAACGAAGGTATTATTTATATAATCATACCTTGTGTCATCATAATTATATTCATAAGAAACTTAAAAGCTTTATTGCCTAAAAAGTTGAAAAAACAGAATTATTGATAGTCCATATTTGTTGTAGTACTCCATAACTTTTAACAGAAGGAAACATTACATTGTATTTTCTAAATTTACAGAAACATAGACTGAGCAGTCAACAAAGCTTTCAGGTGTTGATCTCACCATACCCTGGACTACTTCACAGCCTTTTACTTCAACATTATGTTATTATACACAGGATAAATGTTCGGTATCATTATTTAATCACACTGGAATCAAAACTGGGAATCGAAAAGAATCGGAATCGATAAGCAGAATCGGAATTGATCAAATTCAAACGATACCCAACCCTAGTCATCGCTGAACATTCCCTTCCCATGTCCACTGCTCCAGTGATAGTTGAACTGGCCCAGAGTCTTGCGCTTGATATAAGATAGCCTAGGGACAAATTCAACTATCACGCACCACATCCTCCTACGAGTTGGTGAATGGCCTGGGGTGTACTTTTTCTGAAAGGTCGTTTTTTATTTGAAGAGGTTTCCA